AGACTAAATGAAGATAATTTTTTGCTTAAATGAAAATTTCATCGTCGTCATTCATTCCAGTGCTATAAGGTCCGTTGATGATAGAGCAGGCTCCATGTAAATTCAGCATCCCAAAATAGAGGGATGCCATTTTAATTAATAAATTAAATGAATTTTCCTATTTTAATTATAAAATTTAACGATTTATGCCATTTTAATTATTAAATTTAATATACTATATTAATTATTAAATTTAATATTTTATGAATATTAATAATTTAATAGAATTTTTTTTTTATTGCTTGGAATTAGTTTATTGCAATAATTAAATTATCGAATAATTTAATGAAATTATTTGTAGCATGGGGAAAGAAAAACTTTTTTGCCACTTAATTATTTTAAAAATTCTAAAAATACATATAAATAGGGTTGTTATGAAATTCTATTCGAAAAGAATCATTGATTAAAAAAAATAAAAAGAAATGTTTTTAACTATAAAATTTTCATTGAACAAATAGTTTAACAACGTATGAGATAACGTATGTGATATGATAACAAAAACTCATAGCGTCTAATCGAACCGAAACATCATCTTTTATTATGTCACTCAAATAAATTATTAATTTAAGCTTAGACGATACGAAGATATGCTCAAAATATCAACATCATATATTTTCGCTCTCAGTCGTTGTAACTTTTCAACGATTCTTCAAAAGAAACAAAAAAGAATTCATTTTCGATTTTTTTTTTTGTTTTCGATTTTATATTAATTATTATTATAATAATTATTATTATTATATTCCGATTTTTTATATCAATTATTATAGACGAATTTTATGATATTATACTGATAATTGGAATAGAATTGTTTTCTTTTTTAATTACTATAATGAAATTATTGAATTTAGAAATTAATTAAATAGTAGTTTTTGTGGCAAAAAATATTTATATTTTCTTATCTTACAACTTTTCCTTAAATCGATTTATTTTTGGCAATAAAATTCATTTCCGATTTCTTGTTTTCAATTTTATATTAATTATTATGTTTAGACGAATTTTATGATACTTTATTGATAATTGGAATAGAATTGCTTTTAATGACTATAATTGAAATTATTGAATTACAAATCAATTTATTAGTAATTTTTGTGGCAAAAATATTTATGTTTTCTTATCTTATAACTTTCTCCCCAAATCCATTTATTTTTTGGCAAAAAAATTCATTTTCGATTTCTTGTTTTTGATTTTATATTAATTATTATATTTATGATATCATAGTGATAATTTGAATATAATTGTTTTTTAATTGCTATAATGAAACTATTGAATTTATTATGTTTTCATATCTTGAAACTTTCTTTCTCCAAATTGTTTATTTTTCAATTTTCCGCTTTAAAATTCATTCCCCACTCTCTACTACTTTCCTAATATTCGTCAATTGATTTCAGTTTATTTTGGTTTTCTGATCTTGTATCTTTTTTTCTCAGACTTTACTAAATTGTTTGTTTTTCAAATTTCTTCCCTAAAATTCATTTCCATTCTCTGCTACTTTTCAATATCTTAAATTTTACTAAATTGTTTATTTTACAAATTTCTTCCCTAAAAATTCATTCATATCCATTCTCTATTATCCATTTCAATATCTCAAACATTATCAAATTATTTATTTTTCAAAATTTCTCCCTTAAAATTTTATTTATAATCCGTTTTTTATAATTGTTTAAGTTATTATTTCATTTGAAATTAATTTCTTTATAGTATATAAATTAAGTAAATAAGTATACAATATATGATAATTTAGTTTATATTTTTCATTTACTAAAAATAAAATAGATTTTATTTAATATTCGATTTTAATAATTATTTAAGTTATTATTTTATTAGAAATTAAGTTCTTTATAATGCATAAATTAAGTAAATAAGTATACAATACGTATAATTTACTTTATATTTTATACTTAATAAAAACTAAAATGTTTTCAGTTTTTCATTTCATTCTTAAATTTTTGATATTATTTAAATTAATCAATTGTTGCTCTTTCATTTGTTAAAACACTGATGAAAAGCTTTTAAATCAAAAAGAGAATGAGAGAAAAAAAGTAAGGAAAATTGTGAAAGATTGAAATATACAGACGAAATTAATCATTTTAAAATTCGAGACTATCATTTGAGCAACAGTTAATAGTAATTAGTTTAATTACATAAAATAAATGATAATATAGGAAAAAGTGAAAGAGAGAGAAAAAGAGAGGGAAGAGTTTCTAAACAAAAATATCATTAAAATAGTTTGAAAAAAAGATTGAAAATAATATTTATTATGGTAAAAGATTATAATCTCTAGAATAGAAGTGAAAATGAGTAGCAAAAAAAAATGAAACGAAAGATCCTAAAATAGTATTTTCTGTACCTTACTGTAAAATAATTTTAAACGAGTATTTTCTGTAATAAAAATAAAATAAAGAAGAATTTTGGGAAAGAAATAAAAAAGGGAAAAATGTTATTCAAACAATATAATATCAACAACGGCTGTCCACAATTTTCATTTATTTACTATCTTCCGCTCTTGTTTTTTTTTCCTAAAATTTAACATTCAAAAGAAAATCATTTCTTTTTGTCGGAAATTTCAGAATTTTCTTTTTTGCCTAATTTATCTGACAATTTAATTATTGTTGAATATATTTTAAATTATTAGATTTGAATTATTAGAACAAAAAATTAATTTTTATAATGCAAAAAATTTTATTGATTAAATTAAGAAATTTTTTACAACTTTAAAACTTTTCTTAATTTCGAATTTTTTTTTTGTTAGTTTTTAACATTGACATTGTTTTTATTGCATTTTAATGATAAATGATAAAAGATAACGATACTCCTTACGATAAATGATATAAGATATTGATTAATCGATAAAGAGAATTTTATTTCGGCATGTTTATCATTCGGAATATGTCGAAAGAATGATAATATAGTTTGTCTCATATCATTTATCAATAAAACAATGTTAGTATTGAAACTTTTTTATGATAAATGATATGATATCAAATTATCGATAAGGAAAATTTGATTTCGGCATGTTTATCATTTGAAATATGTCGAAAGAATGATAATATAGCTTGTCCCATATCATTTAACAACAAAACAATGTTAGTATTGAGAACGAAAAAAACTAAAATATAAAATTTGAAAAAAAAATTAATTTTTATTTTTTACTACTCTCTTAAGACTTTAGTACGTGAGTGTTTTTCCGGTTAAACGGATTAAAAATTAAATTAATTGAAATACTACGCTCTTAATAATACTTTAGTACGTGTATGCGTCAATAAGACTTTAGTACGTGAGTGTTTTTCCGGTTAAATGGATAAAAAATTAAATATTAAACGGATAAAGAATTAAAGAAATTGAAATAGTACGCTCTCAATGAGACTTTAATACGTGTCCGTTCCATCTAATACGTTTTTCCGGTTAAATGGATAACGAATTTAAGGAATTAAAATAATTTTTCAGAAAAGAGAAAAACTAACATCTAGCAAAAATGTCAGGATTACAAACAAGATTATTGTCAACCGGTGAAATGATTCAACCAGTTCAGCAAGTATTTGATCAAATGAAAGAAATGGAAGATCAATTGGATCCTTTATTTTTTAAAGTTTGTTTATCTGACAGATCGAATAGTAATTTCATGCTAGTAAATAAGTATATGAGTTAACAAATATGATTATTAGATATAAGTTGTAAATTTTTTTTAAAATATTGATACAGAAGTTTATTTATTTAATAATTAAGAATAATTTTATTACTGAATAATTGTAGTACATAAAAATTATAAGTATAAATAAATTGATTAATTTAATTAAATAAAACAAAAAAATAAATGAGTTAAAATTAAATAAATCAATATAATAATTTTTAAAATGAAATGAAAAGTTTTTGTGCAAATATTATTTTATATATACATGTATATATATGCCAGTTGAATTTATTTATAATTATGAATGATTTAATGGATTTATTTATAATTATTTTATTTATAATTATGAATGATTTAATTACTGATAATGGTACTTATAAAAATTATAAATTTAAATATAAGTAAATTGGTAGATTATAATCAATTAAAAAATAAATGAATAAAAATTAAGTAAATAAATCAATAAAAATTCTTTGACTAAAATAAAAAATTGTTTTTTGTTTAATTTATATAAATATATAATATTTTGCAGATGGTGGAATATTATTTTGATAAAGGAGCAGCGGTGATAATTCCAAAACTTATCGAAGAGCATCCATCACGTGAAATGTCAAAAGAAACGAAAGAGAAATTCGTTCGTGGAGTTATTGCTATGATTAAACCAGCTAGTAAGGTAAGTGCTTTCTCGGAAATTATATTGATAATTATCACTTATCATCAGCATTGTTTTGTTAAATTAATTAAAATACATGAAAAATTAAGGGAATTAAGTTTATTGCAAAAAATTTATAATTAAATTATTATTTTAAATTATCATTACTATTATTTTCAAATTAAATTATTATTTTATTAAGTTAATTAAAATTCATGAAAAATTAAATGAATTAAATTTATTACAAATTATTATAACTAGATTATTATTCTTAACGATTACTATTACTATTATTATTTTACACTAAGTTAAATTAAATTATTATTTGATTGAATTAATTAAAATTCATGAAAAATAAATTGAATTAAATTTATTGTAAAATTATAATTATATAAGAGTAATCATTTTTCATACAGGTATTGCATATAACATTTCCGCTTAGACGTGATGATGGAACATTTGAAATGATTGAAGCATGGAGAGCACAACATTGTGATCATCGAACTCCAACAAAAGGTGGCATTCGTTATGGTAAAAATGTTGGCGAAGATGAGGTATCGTATAATTTGGAATGATTTTCAAATTTTTTGAAAATAAAAAATTAAATCATTTCACAAAATTTTGTTTAATAATTTTGAAAAGTTTTTATACAGTATTTTTACAGTAATTTCAAAATTTTCGAAAATAAGAAATTAAAAAAATTTGTTTTATAATTTTGAAAAATTTTTATACAGTATTTTTACAGTAATTTCAAAATTTTCGAAAATAAGAAATTAAAAAAATTTGTTTGATAATTTTGAAAAATTTTTATACAGTATTTTTACAGTAATTTCAAAATTTTCGAAAATAAGAAATTAAAAAAATTTGTTTAATAATTTTGAAAAGTTTTATATATAGCATAATTTGGAATGATTTTAAAATTTTTAAATAGTGCCCTCCTTCTATCTACATGTTTACAGTATTTTTAAAATTTTCGAAAATAAAAATTTAAATCATTGCACAAAATTTAATTTAATAATTTTAAAAAGTTTTTATATCATATATTTAGGAATGGTTCAAAATTTTTTGAAAATAAAAAATTCCCAAAATTTTTTTGATAATTTTGAAAAGTTTTATAATTAGCAAATATTTTGCTTTTAACATTTAAATTTAAAATTAAATTTAACATTTAAATTTTGCACTATTAATTAGATTTTTATTGTTTGTGGAAAATTTTTTGTACAATAGAAAAAAATGATTGAAAATTTAAGAAACAAGAAATTATGCTAATTTTGCAAATTAATTAGGTGAAAGCACTTTCTGCTTTAATGACATATAAATGTGCTGTGGCTAATATACCGTTTGGTGGCGCAAAAGGTGGTGTAAAAATTGATCCAAGCAAATATTCCGAATATGAAATTGAAAAAATCACTCGTCGTATGACAGTGGAATTTGCAAAGAAGGGATTTTTGGGACCAGGAGTTGATGTTCCTGCTCCTGATATGGGTACCGGTGAACGAGAAATGAGTTGGATTGCGGATACATATGCGCAAACAGTTGGATATACTGATAAGGATGCATATGCTTGTGTTACCGGTAAATCGATCGTTGCTGGAGGTATTATTTTTTTTTTTGATATAAAGTATATTGAAATGAAAAATTATCTATGCATCCCTAATGGAACTCAATATTAAACCGGAAATATTAAAATGCTACAGGAATTCATGGTCGTACAGCAGCAACCGGACGTGGTGTATGGAATGGTTTGGAAACATTCTTAAATAATTCCAACTATATGAATAAAATTGGTTTAGAACCTGGATTAAAAGGAAAAAAAATTATTGTTCAGGTATTAAAAATTAATATTTAAAATAGAAGAACAATGGAATTTAAGTATAAAAATAAATTTTATAATTTTTAATTTATAACTAAAATTTATTATAACTTATATAATTGAAGGGTTTTGGTAATGTTGGTACTTTTACATCATATTTCGTATCGATCGGTGGTGGAATAATTATTGGTATTCAAGAATATAACTATTCGGTGTATAATCCAAATGGTTTGAATATTGATGCATTGATTAAATATTCTACGGAACATCGAACAATAGCGGTAATTTAACTTTTATCCATTTTAGTTTTCCATAAGAAGAAAAAAGGAAAAAAGGAAATGTTGAAATTTGATTTTTCGATTTTAGTATAAAAAAATCCGGTTTTTTTATAGATGATTTAGATGTGTTGCAGTGAATAATATAGAAAACCGATTTTATGATCTTTGTATAAAAAAATCCGGTTTTTGTGTGAATAATTTAGATGCTTCGTAATAAATAATAGATGTTAATTTTTGAATTTATAGAATTATCCGGAAGCTGAAGCATATGAGCCATACAATGATTTAATTTATGAAGAATGTGATGTATTAATTTTGGCCGCTTGTGAAAAAGTAATTAATAAAAATAATGCAAATAGAATTAAGGCTAAGGTATGAATTTCAACATTTGAAGGAAATGTGCCAATTGAAATATTGAGAAGTTGAAAATGAAATAATAAATAGGTAGATATCATTTATATCATTTTACGATAACGAAGAATGAGTGATAGATTTATGATAAGTAAGATTAAGGCTAATGAGATATCCAGGAATAAATTAATTATCAGAAAATATGATAAAGAATATTAGTGTATAATTAAGCAAAATTAATAATGCAATGAAAGATAACATAAGCGATAACATGGAATGATAAAGATACCATCAGAAGAATATGAAAAGACATTATCACTTCTCACATAACATATTTATTTAACTAATAATGATAATAGGTAAAAGATATATCTATTCAAATTAATGATATAAGAATCATTAAATAGATAGGTATAAAAATTCAATAAATATGATGAAATGTAAAAATTGAATTATTAGAAGATAAGTGATTAATTTTGATAAAGGTTATCGTAGAAGCCGCAAATGGTCCAGTAACTCCAGCAGCTGATAAAATTTTATTAGCTCGAAATGATTGTATCGTTATTCCTGATTTATTCGTTAATAGTGGTGGTGTTACGGTATCATTTTTTGAATGGTTGAAAAATTTGAATCATGTCCGTTTTGGTCGAGTTGCTTCAAAGCATGAAATTGATTCCGGTTACGATTTATTGGGTAAAAATTATTCTCTTTGCACTTCCATGATCTTATTTTTTTGCAAATTTAAATTTACTCTAAAATTAGTTTCTACATCTTTTGCTATATGATTTCTTCAATATTTTTCAGCAAGTATTCAAGAATCATTGAGACGTGAATTTGGGAAAGATATTAAAATTGAAATATCAGAAGGATTGAAAAATCGATTCAATTATAAATCTGAAGAAGAAATTGTTTATTCCAGTTTAGAACTTAGCATGCAAAAATCAGGTGCATAATAAAATTTTATTTCCCAGAATTTCTTTTCTATTTTATATAATAAATAATGAATCCAAAATTTTTAGGTCATTAAATCATTTTATGCTTTCATATTTTAATTATTGTAAATTTTATTAATTTGTTAAATTTCTTTTAATTATTAATTTTTTAATTAATTTAAAATATGCAAAAGACTATTAATTTTCATTTAATTTTTCATTCATTGATTTTCTAACCATTATCAATTGTTAATTGTTTAGCAGTCTTTATAATCTTCTTTATAACCTTTATAATTTATAATATAATATAATCTTTATAATTAAATTCAATTCTAATAAATTATTCATTTTTCAGCTCATGATATTATAAAAACGATAGAGAAATACAATCTTGGTTTGGATTTACGTACCGCTGCTTATGCGACAGCCGTTGAAAAAATTTACAATACTTATCGTTCATTTGGTTTTACATTTGCGTAATTGGAAAAACGCAAAAACAAAAAATAATAATTTTAAATAATTGTCATGCAATTTTATTCATCTCAAATAATAATTATAAATCATTGTAATCAGTTGTTTAATTCATTTTTTAGTTATAGTTTAAATTGGTTTTAATTACAATTTAAATTATTTAATTTTAACAAACTATAGTTTAAAAATTCATGATATTTCATCGTTATTTTTTGTCGTTATTTTTTTATTGACAAATTGTAAGCAAAGAAATAATATGAAATTGAAAATCGAAAATTTTTGAAATGCATTAAAATGATTTATAGAAATGTAATTAAAAAATTTTATAGTATATATTAAAAACGATTCATATGAAAGTTATACAGTAAATACTAGCAAAATAATTGCAAATATAAGAAGAAACTGATATTTAAATGGATACGAAAATCAATAATATATTTTATACGTTATATATTAAAATTGATTTAAAAAAAATAATATAAACAAGTATTAAAATTGATTAAAAGTATTAAAATTGAGTATTAAAATTAAGTATAAAAATTAATTAAAAGAAACTAATATAAATTAATAGTTTTGTGTGCATCATTTTTTATAGTTATTTAGGAATGAAATAATGAAACAATAACAAATTTCATACAGCCCAAAATTTGAATATCACAACAATGTTTGGTATAAAATGTGAAAATATTTGCAAGTGATAATTTTATATAAAAAAAACGATAATTAATAATTTATGAAAATATCATGAAGGTCGTTTTTTTGTCATTTGCGATCTCGTAAGAGGAAATTAAAATGCTGACGTCAGCACGTGCGAAACGATCACGTACGGTACGTCGTATTTCGCTTTAGAAATATTGTTGTAGTATCTAAAGCAGAATTCTGCTTTAGATACTACAACATTTCAAAAGATATAATTTCCGTCTTCATTTGATGAATCAGAGATGACAAAAGAGAATCATAATTTTCACTAATTTCTGACTTCACAATCTGATAACATAACATCAGCAAATACTTATTTTCCACTGATAAAATTGGAGAATCATAATTTCTCAATAATTTCTGACTGATAACATAACATCAACAAATGTTTATTTTCTACTGATAAAATTGAATGTAAAAAAAGGAATAAAATTTTGTTATCATTTTTAGGAAGAGAAATAATTTGAGAAATATTTTTAAAATTGGAAAAATTTTTAATTTCTAAACTTACACATCGATGTTTAACAAAATAATATAAATTATGATTCATTTTTTCCCCACATTCCTGATTAATCAATGTCATCCGAAATATTCTAAATTTTTGATATTTCAGTTTCCCATTTTTCATCCATCGTAACTCAACAACATTTTTACCAGTTCTTATCTAACAATCGACCTTTTAACTTATCTGAATTTCATACATCTAACAATGTTTGATCTTATCAACTCAAATAGTATCATATTTCAATTTCGTCAATTCATGTTCATACTACATAATATATCTTTTCCTACATTCGAATTGGAAATCGAAATTATAAATAAAATATTGAATTTGAATTTAACAATTTATATGCGATCTTCAACTTAAGACAAATTTATTCAACACATATTTTCGTCATACACCTCTTACTCGCTTGTTTTACCAGATTTTATTAGGAAAATTAACTAAGATCAAGAAGGGTATTTTTCGTCCAAAAGCGCACAGAATGTTATTCTGATCATACAGACGTTTTATTAGGATGTAAAGTTGAGAAGATCAAAATTGATGACAATTGCGCCATTTATTGCGGTCGACCGAATGATCAAAATGATGAGAAAAAAGTATTTTAGTTCGATAAGCTGATGAATTCGTCAGTTTTATTCATAGTCAAACACAGAATTCCTAATATTTTATTTTGCGATAAGTGAATACAAACGATAGGAATATATTATATTACATAGCATAGAATGATCAGTATTATATATTCCTGTCGATGTCTTCAACTTTTAGAGATTGTACTCGATTGGAAGGTTCTTACGACGAACCATACCATCGCCTTGGAACCATTCACGGCGGAATTGTTTCGCGGCACCATCTGGTGTGTTAGTCCATTCGATGGTGATACGATCGTTATTGATATCTTCCTTCGATGCATCAAATGTATCGCAGGAAACAGCCATGAGGACGTTTTCCTTAGGATCCAAGACACCGCATGGTGGATCAACACCTAGACGGCGCATATTGGTGGTCTTAATTGCCCAACCAATACGACGACCACCGGCATTTGTGATCTAAAAAAATTTCTTACAAAAATAACCCTTCACTTATATCTACGATAATTCTAGTTTACCCTGCTACATTCCAGTTTATGATGCCACATTTTTTCCAATAAGCTGTCATATTATTGATCCCATAACCATTATTCGATGATCCACCACTAGAGAGATACCTTAATATGATAGGTGTGCTTGTCATCGTAGGGAGCATTGAAGACAATTTTTGACCCTGGTTGAGTGTGGATATCACCCGGTGGTACCGATTGCGCCATTAGAAATTGCCTTTAGCTTCCACCCGAACTGCGAGCAAATAAGCGACTGATTTGATTTTCACGATTTGCAACTTTTATGCGATTTTTTCGTCGAGAAAATTTCCATAATCTAAAATATATTTGCATATGAAAAACTATTCATAATTTCGGAATAACAAATTTTAACGAAATAAAAGTAAATTATTTGAATTTTTTCATTTATAATTTGACGAAATATAATGAGAAATAAAGAGAAATCAGACAAATAATTCCTTTTTTGCATAATGCAAAAAAAATTGAAAAAGATTTTGCATAAATTATAATTTTAGCAATTCCTATTTTTTGTATTTGATGAATATTTAAATTTAATATTCTAATTTTAAAATTAATTTATGTAAATACCAAGGATATTGCAAAAAATTTACATATGTAAATTATGCATTTAACTTTCCTTTCAATTGTAATTTTTGTAATTCCTATTTTTTGATTTTTGAATATTTAAATTTAATACAAATTTAATATTCAAATTTTAGAAATTAAATTATGTAAATATCAGTGACCTATTTTTTGCATTAGATGAATATTTAAATTTAATATAAATTTAACATTCAAATTTTAGAATTAATTTATGCAAATGTCAAAGATATTACAAAAAATTTACATATGTAAATTATGCATTTAATTTTTTCAATTGCAATTTTTATAATTTCTATTTTTTGTGATTTTATGAATATTTAAATTTAATATTCTAATATTTAAATTTGATATGAATTTAATATTCTTATTTTAGAATTAATTTATGTAAATGTCAAATTTAAATTTATGTAAATATCAAAATCAAATTTTCAAAAAAATTTACATATGTAAATTATGCATTTAACTTTCTTTTTCTTCTGTTGCATATTCAATGCATAAATAATGAGTATTTGAAAATTTCATAAATGCAATTTTTTTATAAATACTAATTATCAGAAATTATCAGAAATTTAAATATTCTAAATATTAATTTCTTATAAATTTCATTTTCTATTCATCAATATTACTAAAAATTTAAATAATCAGAAATTATCAGAAATCTAAATATTCATAAAATTAATTTCTTATATAAATTTAAATAATCTTAATGTTAATTTTTTCATTAATTTATGAAAATGAAAAATGATATGATTAGGAAACGAGCAGTTGATTACTGTAACTAAACTCATACCATATCATCACTCATAACTCACATCTTATCATATCATCAAATGAATCCAAGTGAAATAAAATGTATCATTTCAAATGAAACGAAAAAAAGATTATGATTAAAATGATCATCCATATAAAATAAACTGATAGCTCATCATTTTAAAAATTTATTTAAATATTGTTTATGGTAGGTAACTTTTGCATTTACCTATCATTTACCTATTTATTACCTATTTATCTATTTACCTATTTATTACCTATTTACCTATACCTATTTATTACCTATTTATTACCATTTACCTATTTACATATAAATATCTCTCGTTAACTTTAAATGAAATTAATTCTACAGCTTCAAATCTTCCATTAAATTAATTTAAGTTTCAACAGAGAAAATAAATTCGACTGTTATTATTTAAATCAAATTAAATTCTGACGCATTTAATATCATAAATTAGCGATCTTCAATTGTTTTATCTCTCCAGCAAATTAATTTTCTCTATTAAACCTAGTTATATTACTTTCTGCTGCTGTCGAGCAATTTTTAAATGGATGGTACTATAATTGTTTCTATACAAATTAATATTTTATTGATTACCCCATAGAAAGAGCATTTATTCAAGAATTCATTGAATTATTCACAAATCATACACGAATAAAAATTGATACATAATTATTTGTGCTGATAAGGAAAATTCTATCACAAATGAATTCATTAGAATGCTTTGACAAATTTATTTATTCAAATCATAAGTGTCAATATGCTCGATTGAAATGTAGATATGATTACAATTGAGCAAATGAATGAGAGCTTATGCATTTTATAGGTTATATTCGATCGGAAGGTTCTTGCGACGAACCATACCATCACCTTGGAACCATTCACGACGGAATTGTTTGGCTGCACCATCCGGTGTGTTAGTCCATTCGATGGTAATACGATCGTTATTGATGTCTTCTTTCGATGCATCAAATGTATCACAAGAAACCGCCATGAGGACATTTTCCTTGGGATCTAGGACACCACATGGTGGATCAACGCCTAAGCGACGCATATTGGTAGTTTTAATTGCCCAACCAATTCGACGACCGCCGGCATTGGTAATCTGAAAATTTTCTTACAACTAAATGATCCAAATGATAATTTTGATTTATGATACTACATTCCCAGTTATGCTACCATATTTTTTCAATAAACTATTATATCATTGATCCTATAGCTATATTAACTGTTGATTCATCTGCCAGAGAGATACCTTAATGTGATATGTATGCTTATCATCGTATGGAGCGTTGAAGACAATTTTCGATCCCGGTTGTGTGTGAATATCACCTGGTGGAACCGATTGTGCCATTAGGGAGAGAGATGGGAAGACTGTTTACCCAATGCCCACAAGAAAATTACTAGCTATGACATTCGAGCTACTTCTCATTCTTTTATAATCATTGTTATCATTATTATTTTTGCATATATTAAATAAAATTATCATAATAAATTATTGTTGCCATAATTTATTGCATAAATTAAGTAAATTATAATAGGTTGATTGTTAAATATTCGAAAATGTAAAATATGCAAATTTATTTTTGGGAATAAAAAAATGTTTATTTGATATGATTTACCTAAGCAAAAGTTATTTAAATTTTAGGAACAGAAATGATTTGTTAAATTTAATATAAATTTATGCAAATTTATTGTTATGCATAATTTACATTTGAATTCCATTTCTGTAGTAAAATTAAATGTAGCAATGAATAGAGAGAAAAGAAACAAATAATTCAAATTTTGCATAAATAAAAAATTTTGAAAATTTAAAACTTACCACCTTTTTCGCATATCGTAACTGTAAATTAGCATTTCAAGTAAATTATTTTAAATTATACAATTTTTATTCATTATGATAATTTTTAAAGGTATATAAATAACAAAGTGTTGCTCATTGAAAAATAATTTGTAAGCAGGCATCAGGAGAATATGGCGCAATCGGTTCCACCGGGTGATATCCACACACAACCGGGGTCAAAAATTGTCTTCAACGCTCCATACGATGACAAGCATACCTATCATATTAAGGTATCTCTCTAGTGGTGGATCATCGAATAATAGTTATAGGATCAATAGTATGGCAGTTTATTGGAAAAAATGTGGTATCATAAATTGGAATATAGTAGGATAAACTAGAATCATCGTAGAAGGATTATTTTTGTAAGAAATTTTTTTTAGATCACAAATGCCGGTGGTCGTCGTATTGGTTGGGCAATTAAGACTACCAATATGCGCCGCCTAGGTGTTGATCCACCATGTGGTGTTCTGGATCCTAAGGAAAATGTCCTCATGGCGGTTTCCTGTGATACATTTGATGCATCAAAGGAAGATATCAATAACGATCGTATCACTATCGAATGGACTAACACACCAGATGGTGCCGCTAAACAATTCCGCCGTGAATGGTTCCAGGGTGATGGTATGGTTCGTCGTAAGAACCTTCCAATCGAGTACAATTTATAAGATCAATCATACCATCAATTAACACACAGGAAATGATATTATAATCTGATATCATCAATTTTGCAATTCAAATTATTGATATGATTTTGATTTGTGTACATTTCGCAATGAATAACAATAAATGAATTGCAACGGTGATTTTGAATAAAATTTCAATAAATATGAAGTTGGAGTCAGTGTGTCACTTTCAACAATATGTGTTGACATAAAATTAATTTCTCCTCACAGATAATCACTAATAATAGAATTGATTGATAATTTCGTCGACACAATTGTAACTAATAACAATAACTAGGCATCGCAATTGATTAACTATTAACTATCGTATTAGTTAATGATTTGCAATTATTCGTGACTAATGCTACTAGATGCAAATAATTCAATTAATTAATAAATAATAATAATGATAATGACATCATGAACGATAATAATAATTAACAATAATAGTAATCATTATTTACTAACAATAATTAATAATAATAATAATTGATAATAATAATGATCAGTAATAACGATAATCAATAATAATAATGATAATGACAATAATAATAGTGATAATAATAATAATCAATAATTAATATTAATGATAATAATGCAAGCAATAATCGCGGTAACAAAAAAATGTATTTTCTTAAGTATAAAAAAGGAAGTTGCATTTGAAAATTGTTATTTGAAACCATCATGTTTGAGAGATTCAATGACCTACTACGAAATGTGAAAATAAATCTAGATGATCAGAAAATTCCAGTCTCTCGAGGTTTGAGTAGAATTACAGGTTTTCATTAACTTATCTCGGACAGAAGAAAGAGAGGAAGTATACGAATACTATAAGAAATATGTATTCAAGCAGCCTAAATTATTATTATTATTATTATTATGATATATTCTTCCTATAGATATCATTAATTTTCCGGTTCCTTTTTTTGATATATTTCTGACCTAAATTCTGCTAAATAAAAGCTGACCATATGTTCGAAAAGTTAAGCATCTTTATTATTTATTTTTCGTTCCCTTGTCGGACTTATATACCTTGTCGCATATATCTTGTCAATCTGAGTGAATTTCGGATGAAGCCGTTTCTAGCGTCGTTGAATTATTTCGACATTAATAAATTTTTTGATTATATTTGAGCAAATATTAAAATCGCGCTTTAGAGCGAATATTTTAGTAATTAATACTTACTTGCATTAGCTTATTAACATTCATTTAAATTGCAGAGTTGTAAGCAATGGGTTCACTGAATAAAGTTTTCATTTCATTTTTGATGCTATTTTTGGTGATGATAACGAATTCGGAAGCTTCTGGTTGGCGGAATTGGTATAAGCCACGGCAATGGAATTGGAAACATGACATCGATCATTATCATCATCATCATCATGATAATCATCAAAAACATGATGATGTTCACAGTAATCATTATCATAAATATGATATTCATCATAAATATGATGATGGTCATCATCATCATCATGATCATCATAATGGATACAAATCTCAGCATGGACATCATTGGAATCATTGGAGCTGGAAAGATTGAGATGGAAAGATTGCTGAAGATAGGAATTGAAAGATTGCTTTGATTATTTATTTCAAGCTGAATAAATAAACTTCTACAAATTTAATATTGGATGAAATGACATGGAATTGTTTGGCTTATTTTTTAAACATAAAATAAAGCTATGATTTCATTTATGGTTTAATGAAAGACTAAACAAGAGAAATTCTAAATCTAGGTGATTTTTATTTGAAATATTACAATAAGCGTAATTTCTAACAGCGCCTAAAGTTATTGATCATCACCATCATCATAATAATTGATGATTATCATCATCATGATAATCATCAAAAACATCATGGTATTCACAATAATCATTATCATAAATATGATATTCATCATAAAAAAGATGATGGTCATCATCATTCATCATGATCATCATAATGGATACAAATCTCAGCATGGACCTAAAGTTATCAAATTATTAGGAATGATTTTATTAAAATTATCATCAAAGCATTTTATATACTTTTAACTACGCTATTATGATACTATTAGCTGATATAATCATTGCCAAAATTGGAAATAAAAAGATTTCGATCAAATTGTTCAAACATATTTTATCAGAATTTGATAAATTTTAAGATGCTTCTTCAACAGTGACCACTCCTATGGTTGCTTTTTCAAGAGTGACCACTCCTATGGTTGCTCATTCAAAAATGACCACCCTTGCGGTTGCTCTTTCAAAAGTGACCACTCCTACGGTTGTCATAATATTCAAAAGGAAGCAAAACAGCGAAAGAAAAAATCAAATACAAAAACAACTCATATATATATGTATAAGTTGTAGAAAGTAGTAATCATTTCAAAAAACATTGAAAGAATAAAGGAAGAAATCGAAATAAGAAAGAGCATATTTAAAAGACAAAATTATAGGAATAAAATTATCATAGAAAGCCCATAAATATTGATAGTTTCAACAACAGAATGTTTATTTACACAAAATTCTTCGAACTAAGCAATTATTGATACTATATTACTTAAATACTTGAAATAATTACAATGTAATGAAATGGATATGAACGTTATAAAATGTTGTAGAAGTTAATAGAAATTTGATTAGTGTTTTAATCTGAAAAACTTTATCATACTGATATGAAATTTCCATTTTAAATGAAATCATTAGTGGAAAGAAAAAGTTGAAAAGATTATAAAAATGAAAACTAAAAAGTTTTATCGATTATAATGATGATATTATAATAATTGAGATCGCTACAATAAATGAGATCAGAGTAGAATACAAATAATACATGAATATTACACAATTTAAGCTAGATAAAATATGAGAGAAATAATTTACATCTAAATCATTTTTAGACTTACTAAATTAATCTTATCTTATTTTAAGAGAGATAATAATATAATAGATAATACTATAATAATCTGATATCGATTATAGAAAGGAACAAATATGGATAAGATGAAAAAAGAAAAGAGACAAAAATTTTTGAAATTTTAACTGAAATTATAGGAATAGAATACAGAGATACTGGATACTTTGATTGATCTATATAAAATATTGATTAAAATATGTATTAGATATTGATCAAGCTTACCACTTAATACTTTCACTAAGAAAATTGAAGCCAAGGTGAATTAATCTGATAATTTTTTTTATCAATAAGCCTAAATTAGTTTCATTAAAAATTTGATGATCGAAATTTGGATAGAAACTTCGATACTCAAAATCTGTGATTACCGATATTTCCATCCAAATCTCAATCATATGAATCAGATCTGAGGGCGATTCATTATTTCGTACATTTTTGGCATTCATTTCTTCTTTGTGCCTAAAAATTTGTTGTTAAAAGATCACTAAAATAAAATATTAAATAATTTCAAAACAATCTGAGAAAGAGAGAAATAGTTAGGGTGAAAAATGAAATTGTTAAGTATATGAAATAGAAATATTTCGCAGTTAACGATTGTAATTATTAATTGTTAACGAATGAATAGAATATGTTAAAAGGATAGTATAATTATATACAAAGTTTAAAAAAAAGAATGATAAATAGGAGATAAAGCTCATGAATTTAATCGATATTTGTTAGACGATGTAATGATCCTTCTTCGGGTAATGGTTGACGATGCCATCGAGGATTCAGAATGATTATTACGATGCACATAACAAACATCAGAATGAAAATACCAAGAAAAATACTGAGGAATTGTTGACCGCACATTACATGATCAACAGTCCAACATCTGTAAATCATATATTAAGAGAATTGATTTCAGCTGAAACATTTGACAGCTTTAGTAAGATTAATTACCAACAGAGAGAGTATAAAATGAGAAATTTTAAGATATAAGAGTATACTTGTGATGCCATGCTGCTTGTTCAGTGATACCCATTACTCCTGTAATTCCAAGGAAGCAGAGCAAGATAAGACCGAATGCCTGATGATATGGAAGTATAAATTGACGCATCGTGATGTTCCATCCAGGGAAGAAGAATGTTGCGAAACCAACAAAGTACTAAAATAAGATAGATGTGGTACTAGCAAAATGGTACTCACAAATCTTTTTTAAGTATCAGTTATCCATTTGTAAATGTAACGCAATTTTTCATTATTTCTTATTGTAATTGTAAGTTGTATTCTAAAAATTATTGATCTATGAATTTCAATCAAATCTTTCCGATATTTTCACATTTCATCATGTTATTATTTTCAAAATTATTTAACATCATTTTAATCAAATTCGATATATTTTTTCCGTATCATTTAAGAAGTAAAAAATATTCTTCCTAACTCATTTAAAACTTCTTTCTTAAAAAATAAGAAATATTCTTCTAACTCACTTCAAACTTCATTGTCTAAGGTTAATTTTAATCATTATAAAAAATTAATTTAAGTACAATTAAAAGTTTGAAGTTATTATCAAATTCTACACTACCATATATACAAATTTAAAATCCTAAATTTTGGTGTTGAAAAGACGGCATTACTGGAATTGCAGCAGAATTCTTCTATCCTGCTTTATCTTGAATTTTTCTAAAAAATTTTCACCTATATTATAAAAGTATACCTGCAAGAAGAAAGCGATGACAGAAGTCAGTCCAATCCACGAATGCAACGAATACAAATTTGGTAATGGATCCAGTTCACCTTTATCATTTGTATGATTATTATGTGAATCGAATACTGCTTTCAGTGCAATCGTAGCAAAAACAAGTGCCACTGTGTGTAATGTTAAATGAAGCAACTTGGAGAAACGTTTTCGTTCATGGCGAAACACTCTATAAACCAATATTCCTGAAAATAAAATAAAATGATATAACAAGCTATAAACTTTAAAATATTCATAACCTCAAGTACTAATTAGCAAAAATAACAATCTTTACTAATCATTAATGCTTTAAGATAAGAAAAATAGTTTGGATACTAATATCGCTTCGGGACATTGATAATTAATCACGATTGATATCACGAAACGTATATGAAAATAACACTCTACTCTCAATCTTAATCTTATAGCCATAAATAAAATAATTAAAATCGAAAAATTATTTATTTAATAAGAGCTTGAATAGGGATAAGAAAAAAATACCATTGCCAGCTAAAAAAATCATTCCCATTACCATGAATGTTGGATGATAGTGAAATTGAAGGCCAGTTGCAAATTCATCATCAAAACCAGCCATCCATAGTGTGACGAGAAAAATCGCACATATGCCTGAAATTTAATTCAAAATTTTATCAAAGCAAAATTTAACGTGAAAAATTGAAATATAATTTGATTAGAAAAAAAAGGGAAAAAATTAATCTTATTTACTCGTCACATTTAATTTAACATCGATAATTAGCAAGTAATGAAATAGAATTTAATGAAGTAATTAATAAATAATTAATAATTTAAATGCTAACCGAAAACTTGCGAAGCACCAAGGATAATGTTGAAGAAGCGGATACTTTGATGATCATTCAAAATTTTGAATGATTCTTGAAGTAATGACATCGTTGAAAATAAGCTAATTTATCCTGAAATTACAAAAATTCTTTATGAAAAAAATTTCTGCAAAAAAAACCAATATTCGAAATTAAATTAACAATGCAAGCTTAACCATTTCATTTCTGTATATTAATAATAATAATTTAAGTAGTCAACTGTCCTTCTACTATTTATTGCTTATGGAAATTACCCTTTCCTATTTCATCACATAAAACCGTAACATCAATCTTAGATAATAATTTTATCGAAATTGACATATATTAATAATAATTCAAGTAGTCAACTATCCTTCTACTATTTATTACTAATGGAAATTACCCTTTCCTATTTCATTACATAAAACCGTAGCATCAATCTTAGATAATAATTTTATCAGAATAAGCTATCATACCTTGATTATCAAACAATTTTGGGATTTCAAGTTATTTCTAAGAAAAAAAATCAACCGAATCGTAAATTTTGTACTCGATTTACCACTTACACCATCTTATCACTTTTAAAACATTAATAGAATAGAATTTTCATAATTCTAAATTATCATTAATATCATTAATATCATTATAATGATTTTTCTGATGATTTCTGATGATTTTTTTTTTCATAATTCTAAATTATCATTAATATCATTAATATCATTATAATGAATAATATCATTATCATCAGAAATCTTTTCTGATCCAGAAAAGTGAATTTCCGGAAAGATCATTTGCATGAATGTGAGTATATCATATCTAATTTACTATTATCATTAACATTCACTAGAAGAAAAACTGAATTTGATGGACAAGAAATGAATGAAAAAAACGACTTCATAAAAAAACTGAATTTGGAGGACAAGAAATTGAAATTGAAATAAAAAGGAAAATTAATTAATCAATTAATTTACCAACTAATCAATTAATTTGTAATGGATTAATCGAAATGAATAATTGAATGAATGAATATTAAATTCTGTTTAGTTTTTTAGACAAATAATATGATAACAAATTTAATAAACAATAAAACAAAAAAAGAAATATTGGAAATGGAATAATGAAATAAATCAACGTATTCCATTTCTCTTATCATTTGATTTTGTAATTAAATTACCTGTACAAAAATTTGATTAAAATTATAAACCGAAGAAAACGGTTTTTAAAAAATAGATAAAAATTTTTGTTAAAGAAAAAAGAGAGAAAGAGAAGTTTTGCACAAAAAAGAAAATGGAAAGAAAGAGAAAGAGAGAAGTGGAGAAGAATGAAAACGAAGAGAAAGGATCGATGATAACCCAAAATGATGCCACCCAATCGAATGGAAAAAGGTGCAAATGACACTCTATTCCTAATAATGAAATGTTACTGATATAAATAGAATACTGCTATAAAAGAGATAGAGAGAATGGAGAGAAAGAGAGAGAGAGAGAGAAATATATAATTGTTGATGAATTAGTAGTACTGAAAGTTTAATAAGACAATTTTTATATTTCTAATTAAAGAGCCTAGAAAGAGAAAGAAACAGAAAGATTCTAGGCCCGTGCATTATTAGGCACAATCAATTTTTACTAAACCATATGATTTTGCTACCATCAATAGAAACAGCTGCAACTAGGTTAATATATATATATATATATAATTTCAATTATTCACATTCAAAATTACTATTCCTAAAAATAAATAAGAATATATCACGAGAGTTTTTAATCAATAAAATACTTATAACCTTAAGTAATATAGAAGACGATGAATCATATAAATAAAATAAATTCATTCCTGTTTTTATATTTCACTATATATAAATATTTAGGTATAAAATCATATTCAGGTATATTCTATCCATTTTTTTTTTCACTCATATATTTTATACATTTAATTACCGATTGATATATGCAATAGGTTCAGTAACTTATCTATCAGTTCAGTAACTTATCTATCATGTTCAACTTTTTCCGGATTCTCATTATTACACATAATAATAATCATTGAAATTCGTTTCTCAATTTATACGTATAGGTAAACGTACCACTTATCCGTATGCATTTGTCTACTCAATATTTTCCCTTTCTCTCATTTTCCGGATTACACATAAAAAATAAACAATAAAATTCATTTATCAATTTATACGTATAGGTAAACGTATCACTTATCCGTATGCATTTGTCTACACAATATTTCCCCTCATTTACAATTCTCATTATAGTAAAATTTAATTTTTTATTAATTAATTTCTTCGAAAAACAAAGAAACAACAAATATATAAATAAATAGGAAAATATTATTTATCTGAAATTAATCTTATAAAATTAAAGTGAAAAATAAAACTAAAAAAAAAATTTCATTATTACGAAAGAACACAATACGATTGAGTTAAATAAATGATTAAAATAAAACTAATTAATTAATTAAAATAAATAAAGATGAAAATTTTGCCATTGAAATTATTTCAATTAACGAGAAATGCTACATGAATTCGGTTGGAACTACATATATATATATATACACAGGAATGATCTAACAAATTTAAACTTTCTATTCAAATTAAAAAACCAATCCCAATAATTGAAACAAAGAAAAAGCGAATATTAAATTTAGATTTATTAAACTTTTCCAAATACCTAGTGAATTTTTAGAATTTTACGCAAACATGACTAATTTTTGCAATATTACGATGTAAATTCTGTAAACAAACACCCCCTCATCATGCTTTCTAGTCTAATCTATATCAAAGTTTTAGGATCAGTTTTCAGGGAATGTAAAGTTGTACCAATCAAGGATAAATCCTCTTCTTTGTTATGAGACAATACTTCATGGAGATTAAAATTGTTATCAGTAAGATGATCATTTTATTGTATTATAATATGATAATAAGTTTATACTTCATCCCCCCTTACTGTAGGTTACAGTGCTTATCGATAGACCAAACACTTCATTGAAGTTAAGCATCATTTAAAGCCATTTCTTCTTCATTTCATGATTTTTAAATGATGGTTTGATAACTCATGCAAATTCGTTAAGAACTTCATTCGGCTCAGCTGATATATTGATAACCTCTTGAGTGAAAATAGTACTACAATTTTTCACTCAAAAATCTCACTAACAACACAATAAGACAAATTAAATCATATCTAATTACATAGCTAAAAGTTAATACATAAGCCATTAATACATAATAAATATAATATAGCAGAAAAATTATCACAATCACAAGAGAAAAATCATCACATTATCAAAAGTTTAATTTTCTTCACATTATTTCGCAAAATTCTACCCTAACACAATGCCTACAAATATTGAACATGAAGTTCACTCTAAAAGATGTAATTTCACATCTGCCTACAGAGTTGTATCTATTAAAGCGAGAAGATAAAGAATTGCTGTAACACAACATCCTTCGACAATATTTCACGAAAGTTTAAATCGAAATAACGAAAAGATAGGAAAATCCACGAATGAAAAGACTCGAAATGCATGGAAGCTTCATCTTGGTTGAAATATTTGAATGGAACCCTCCCGGAGTTCCATTTAAGATTAGAAAAAGAGTTCAAGTGATCTTGTTACACGAAAGCATGCCACAATATTGGAAAATAAGTGATCGTAAACTATGTGAACAAAATAGGAATATCGTCTTGATATTCCAGAATATTTCGTGGTTGTTCAAAACCATCCGCTCCCGCTTCTGCATTTTCTGCCTCACCATGAACCTTCTTCCTTTGCGCTTGTATTTTCTTCATTCTGTAAAAAAATTCTCTGGGAACAGAATTGAACATGCATACTTTAAATAATTGAAATTATGAAAACTCAAAAATTGCGCTGCAAATAAGTGATTGGTATCAGATTGCCCAAATCAAAGCATACATGGAGGTTTGGGTTAACATCGTAAATTAGTTATGGGACTCGAAGTAAGCTTATGTTCATATTTTTGATCCTGTTACCACCTAAATAGACCTCACTACTGAATGAAGAATTCAGTTAACCTGAAAAACTCTTCGCGCTCCATTTCATCCAATTCGGTGATAATGTACACAAGCGTACTTTCGATCCTTGGAATGATCACTGCAAAATAAAGCGCATGATATTAAAGTTGAATTCTTTGAGATAATTTTAGAATCCGTCAAAATATAAAGGGAAAAGATGACAAAGATGCACTGTCTCTTTAATATTTATAAAAGAAAACACGAACCGTGTTCAATAGCATTAACACGCCGATTGGTAATCTTAATAGCCTCGTCGAGAGTTATGAAGCAAGTTTGCAACGTTGCTAATTCAACTAACAACTCTACTGCATGGCTATAGTTTTTCTTCAACTTCGCAATATTTGCACCACCTTTACCAAGACCCGTTAGATCGTATGTATCGGGTCCATCAATATATGGATCAAAAATTGGCAGAAATACACCTGAAATTAAAATCTTTAATTCAAACATACAATGATTTTACTAAAAAGTTAGAGTTGCAATGAATCTCACAACGTTGACTAAGGATAAGGCTGTACTTTCTGTCGCTACTGACTACAGTTTTCCCTATCTCCCTACTTCAGAAAATGGCCAGAGATTTATGGAAGTAAATGAAAACTTTCCGGAACACATCACAACAATAAAGATCACAATCGTTTTCCGTCTGTGCGAAATACTGCTATACAGAAAAAATGTAACATTCCCCTTAAACAGAAGGAAAATTTTTTAGAATGTAATCTTAATATAATCTTACAAAATGCTCATATAAGGTGATATCTGTCATACTCAAATCATCCTATTGATGCAAACACTGTATCTATATTAGATCAATTTGCACTAACCTACAACATTTTCCGTCTTCATGAGGACGCGATGCTGGGCACGTGATACATTCTGGATAACAATATGTGAGAAATCACCAGCAGTAAACTTAGCCTTTGCTAATGAAAAACTCGCTTCACGAAGCACCTCACCCATCAAGTTCTTATTCTTAAAATTATCACTTTTTTGAAAATAACAAAAAAATTCAGCACGAAAAGAAATCGACATATAACATACAAACAGAACCAAATATGAAAAAGAAAATGATAATTTTATAGGAAAGAAAAAGAATTGCATTTCCGGATAATTACTAGTTTAAAAGAAAAATTACACGCAGAAAACTTTTGAAAGAAAGAATCACCTCCACAATCTTCCCTAAAATTGAACGAAAGCGAATATTCAATGCATCAGCTTTCTTTTTCAACAAACTATGTCCCTTTTGAGCAGCTTTTAAGCGAGTTTTCATCAGAGCTTGCGACCTATAATGATATTTTTACTTTTTTTAAATAAATTAAAGCTGACTGATTTTCATCTTCATAGCACAGTTTACCTTATGGAAATTTTCACTTACTGTTCATGTAGTACCTCCCTTCATCATTCCACGGAAATTTCACTTCTATCTTACGCTAGGTAAGACAACTTTTTAGCAATGTATTTGATAATGAAATTCTAAAGAGTTAAATACAAATTAAGAGGTGTTTGAGCTATAAGTTTGATACTACGAAATAATGTTGCTATTGTTGTATATAAGCCAGCATAGACAAAGCCCGCATAAATGTCATCGGTAATTTTAAAAAGTAATAGCAAATAATATAAAGCAACTATTGAATTAGAAAAACAGACATTCGAGACGGGAAAACGGCAATGCGATCTTTTGTATTTCCAGACATCGTAACTGACAACTTTGATTACTCCGCTAGATCTTATGTGTATCTGAAAAAAAAGCATACCGAAATGTATCTTATGCCAAAAATATTACTATTGACGTGTCTAAATGACATCGCATATCTGAATAGCATGCATCAAATTTTAATATTCTGTATTTACGGATTTTATTAAATTCGATGCATGCTAAATAACAACGCATTAATTCGCTGTAAGCAATATAAGCAATACAACAATCCCTAAGAATTAACGGTGGAAAATAGAAGTGGAACTAACGAAATATAAAAATGATGAAAATCAGCATGCTAATTCTCATATACTACGCGAAATTATTCCAATCATATTTCATGTTAATAATAAGCCACAACTATTGCAAAGAGTAGTAACTAGTCTAACTAGATATAGATCATTCTATTAAGATTGACGCAAATATAGCATCATCATATTTCATATTTAATAACGAATAAATCAACGTAATGCATTATTAATATAAATTAACAATAAAAGAAAAAAGAAAGCAGATTTACGAGTTTGCAAATAAATTAACACACATTGCATGTAATAACAGCATATACAGACCCGGAATATCACCTTGCAGCAGCACTTACTACAAATCCAATATGATGTAAACATCGGACAGTCCATATCGTAAATAGAAACCGAAGATCAGTAATTGATTCATAACAAATACTTACAAATTCCCTGAAAAGGAAAATCATAATAGCGGCAAATGTAAATGTAAGGAAACGTCATTGAAATAAAATTCCTATGCGGAATCCCAACTTCCACTTTCATTTATGCGACATATTTGGTCACATTATGTTTGATAAGGATTAGCCAAACATGCTATTCTGTTTCCTTCGAATAATTGGAAATGATTAGTATTAGATTAATAATAATCAGATGCTGTATTTCTCTTCATTATTCCTTCACGAATATAAAAACAAAATAATTTCTTCACTAAAACATTCACATCTTGAATAGCTGTTTACTTCTCTTTTTTCTTTTTTAAGCAGATAATTTCTTGGGAATTTCTCAACCATAATGCATTCACTGTAGAAAGCAACAGCATTAAATCTGGAAATTTTGAAAATTCCACGAAAGTTTCATCTATCATTTGTTTATTATTTATGGTATACGTAGGAATGATTAATCAAACAGGTATTTGTTGAAGAATTTCGAGCATTACGATAAGAGGTACAGGTTCCTATACATGTCAATGAGGAAATTGAAATAAAAATTGATGATTAAAAAACATATTCTTTACAAATATATATGCATTGCATAAAAGATGTAATTCATAGCTTCAGCTAAAAAGTATTCATAATCTGAACTCGGCGAGCAATCACATTTCAAAGTAAACAATCATACTTCAAGCAATGCAAAATATCTTCAATGGATTATTACCTGAATTCCTAAATCCGAAAAGAAGAATCAGTGAGTATATATACATATGCAGTATTGTTGGCGATAAATTACAGTATACCCTCAAAAATCAAACGAAAGTTGAAGAATGTAATTGTCAAACATCGTCAACACAATTCCTTTTTTGAAAGTTAGTAATTAGAATCAGATGTTTTTCGTAATTATTTTACCAGAATCAGATGTCGCAAAATCAACGCACAATAATACAATCAATAAAATATCAAAAACAGAACGGGAATCTAGAATACAATAGTCAAAACATCATACTCCTGACAGTTTCATCGTTCATTTTCGCTGTTTTCTCATATATTTCGTTTTCTCTTTTCAACTAAAAAAGAAAAAAGTATTTTCTATTATACAAAGAAACTTGAACAAGTAAATGAAATAAGGACATAAGAAAGGGAGGAAGTTGAAAAGCAGACCTCTTCAAGACGTTGTAGAAGCGCATCGTTTTCCTTTTCAGCCTTTTTTGCTTTATTAATCATCTCCAACATATTTTCAACATCATTTTTCCCTATAGATTCCGTCTGCCAAACTAATTCCGCTTCTTCCTGGATTTGTGTTATTAAATTCACGGAAAATCTACTGACTTCAGTGTTAATTTTCTTCGATCCTTCTTGACATGATGACCCGATGCAATGAATTACATCAAACACTATTGTCTACTCAAAACATTCCCTATTTTTTAACAAATTATTTATAACCGCCGGTAGGTAAAAAATATTTTCAGAAAAGCATAGAAATCAATACACATAGAATCGTGCAACCCTACTTATCATTTTTAACTGTTATACTTTCGATGTTGTCATGAAATCTTTAAATTTATAAGAGTTCAAAAGAAAATTTCACGTTGCCTTAGATAAGGAGCATAGAAAGGAAATTTCCATTTCAGTAATTCAACACATGATTTCCAGGATTTACTTTTTTGTTTTTAAAGAATTTGAAGCTCAGTGTAAACCAGGGAAATAAATGGAGTGGCTTTAATTAAATCTATTAAAGATTTGCCTTCTTTCTAGATAAAATAAATCACAGCTTAATTACACGACAAGCTTCAATTTACGAGAACAACTAACTATTCTTTTCAGTCGGAATTTCCCAGCATCAGAAACGCGCGAAGTAATCATCCTAGGATATGTTATCCGCTTATCAACAACATCCAGCAATGTTTCACTCACCGCTCCTTTCATTTGCTCCAAATGTTCGATCTTCCTTAATAGTAACTGTACATTTGTGTCTGCAAACATTGAGTTATTATAGCAATTTGATGTTTACACTGTAAGCTCCTTTCTGAGCAGTTTAGAGGTAATTGTAAAATATGTTGTGAATCACTATAAGAATATCAAAAATTCCTTTTGGAAAAGTTATGCATAATGATTTTGTATCATTTTTTCTATTTCATTATAAACTAATAGCTAATTTGTGGTCGACGACATAAGCATATTTGTATTTTCAGCGCAAATGGTCAAAATAGCATAGTTTAATCACCTTTAACGCATTCGTTGTGAATTGGAAGGGTTACATTCGCATCAGCTGTGCTCGCCGACGATGATGCCATCATGGTAACATTTAATTGCAAAAATTTGTTTCACCTATTGAATAGCGCAATAATAAATCGGTTAAACTATAAAAATAATAATGATAGTGAATAAAAACAAACCACTTATTACTAAATGAAACATGCATCCGAAGTAACACGTAAGAAAACTTATCCGCCACACCTACTTGTTTATCATTGCTTATTAAATGCTGTGTTCCGAGCAGCTCGAATTCATGACAAACAATCAGGCCTACCACGAAATTCCTGAGACTCAAATTTATGTGTTACGGCAAGACTTTGAAAGAAGACCTCCGCATTCAGAACCATGATCATGCTTTTGCATATTAGTACCAAATATAGTAGCGCAAAATCGAAAGTATCACCTAGCAAAAACTGCCGATCAGAAATGAGACCTGGCGGTCACTGGCGGGTTGGTTAGATTGCATTTCTGAGTGCACTTGCATGAGTGGGTGGGGGCAGCCGCTATATATTCGTGTGAATAGGGATGTCATGAGCCGAATTAACCAAAATTAACAACTTTATAGCTTTAAATATGGTATGTGCTCGTTCACAACCGAACGCAAAATTGCAAAATTTAAGTTCAACCATTATGATTTATTACAAACTTATATAATGTAGTAACAAGTTATACGATTAATTTTTGTGCAACTCTTTTGGCAGACTATAATTACGAGTATTACATAAAGATTCTATGCATATGTGGAAAGTATGGCGTGTGTGTGTGTGTATGTTGTTATGCCGTATGTGAAAAGTATGGTGTGTTATAAAAACATAAGCCGAATACGGACATTGCCCGCTTTACAGTTTAAATTTTCTGGAGTATCCCCGGACCCGCTTTCCTGAAGAGAAATATATGATAATGGTCCGTTATGTTCTCTCTATTAGGAATATGAGTACAAAAATTTTTCGCTGTATGCGGAGTTTACTGAGACTGCACAGAAATGGCAGTGATTATAATTCATAATGAGAAAATATGGCGATAATGAGAAAATATGACGATGAGATTGAGAAAATGTCGATCATTTCTAATGCAAATAAATAGTAAAAAATCATTCGGAAAAAAATATGCACCCTAACAAAGTATCATTTCTATTCCAAATAAGTTATAATAAAATATACAATAGATGGCAATATGATTGTGAAAGCTGCCAACTTCCATCGATTGTTAATGCACCCTTTAAAATTCGATAAGAACATAGTAAATATACGTCTCAGATACATCAGTAAATTAACGAATTCTCTCAAATGTCGTTGCATTACCATTTTGAATTTTTCTGATACGAAAGTAGAAAAGGAAGAACGACGATCATTGATATGATTCATCCTGCAATCATTTCGACAACTTATAAATCTTGCCGTGGATTTAACTGGGGTAACATTTTTCTTTCAGGCATCTTTCAATTCTATTCTAATCATAATCTAACAATTGACAGGTATTTAAGAAAAAGCGTGGCAAAAAAAGTCTGAAATGTGAAATTGATTTGACATTTACCTTTGATTAGGTGGTTGTTCCCAGCAGCAAGTACATGGCTCCTGGAGAAAGAAAAACTTAAAAATAAATATAGTATGTTTTAAAATAATTTGCTTTAAAATCAATAACATTTTACTCTTAGTTTTGATATTAAACTAAGCTGTGATATCAATGATGTTTTTCTGGTGTTTGTAAGTCAGTTACTTTGGAACAAATCAGGAAAATGAAACAGCTTACATGACTACAGCAAAGTGCATCAACATATTCCCCGGTAGAGGTGCTCGATTCTGAACACCTGTCGGACAGTTCATTAATGCCATTACTACTCTGAAAATGATTCATTTTAATACGAGAAATTTAAAGATATATTTCATTTTTTTTATAGCTGTAACACATTAAGGAATGTAGCAAATTACATTCAAACCACTCATTCTGAGTTCTCAAGACTATAATTCAGTGCCACACGTGCTCTAGTGACAATTACAAAATTGAAGCGAGGATCAAGATGCTCATCATCGAACTGTTTCATATGATTGGACTACTGGTGGACTGCCTAATTCTCATTTCCACTTTGAAATAATATTAGGTACCTCCAATTCCATGTTTGATCGTCCGGCCGTTGTATTTCATATTCTCCTCAATCAGCTATTACGTAACTGTTTTCAACTTACGGCGCACAGTTTATGAAAATCTAGTTTTCAGGGTCACATTAACTAATTAATAAGATTTTAGAATAAAAAAATGCAATGATTGCAACAAATATGAATTTCTGTCTTGCAGTGATTGGATCCATAAATGAAATGATCAAGAGATTGGAAGATTTTTGCCATTTTTTTGCTGCTGTACCCCCTTCTAATACCCTTCTCCTTCGCTCCTCTTTATAAATAATTGACAGATTCAAATATGCTAACTCACCATGTATGTTATCGTTTCGTAACTTTCCCCATCTATATTGCATGATTGCTTTCCAAAATCATCCAAATCTCCTCTCATTTTTAAGTCACTTATATCTATAACGATGCAAATAAATAAACAAATAAATGGTATGACGCCTGTAAATTCGTACATAATTTTTTAACATGAAAAATTTGTGTTTACTTGAAGTTAAAGTATCGATCACAGTGAGAAAGAAACAAGTTGAGTAAGAAAGGTAACAATTTTCAATTCAACAATTAATTTCAAACATAAAATGGAAAAATTGGAAAGCTTAAAGGCAAATGATTCAATTGCAATCTCCCAAAAATTGAGACCCATTTTTACAGACATTTCAATAGTTTCGAACAAAAAAAATACCATATCCAAGAACGGAGAGTTTTTCGCACAATAACTCTTTTGTTCGTTCGTCGCTTCCTTGTGCCAATTCCGCTATATCATATTCATGTTGTACATGGCTGATAATATTCTTCAATTCGGCGATATAAGTTTTTTTCGCCTCCAACGAGTCCATTGATCCGAGAGCATCCCATGCACGCCTTTTAAGAACAATTGTATTATTAATGCAAAAATTTATACAATAGCTTTTATTTACTGATTATGCAATCTGTTGGAAGTTAAGAAAAGTTTTGGTTTTCGAAAAAAATAGAAAGCAAAATTATTTTCGATATAATTTGGCCATCGAAATCTACCGAACTATCGAAGCCTTCGCTTATTTTATTATCAAACTTTTTTTATTATCTTTACTGTTATTACTTATCATTCTGTGGAAAAAAGTAACCTACCATTTTATTCGATCAACAGCGTACCAAAGCGGTGGACATGGAACATTACATTTCCCATTCATTGCCTGCTTAAACAACGAATAAAGTCGCAACTTCTGATTTGCCGAAATGCTGATCACGCCTGAAAATCAAATCACAAACTGCTATTGCAAAACTATAATTTATCCATTAACATTAACTTTAATTAATCCAATTAACTTGAATCTGGTGAAATTTGATAGATTTTCTGGATTTGTAACGATGGGAATAATCACTATAATATTCTAAACTAGCAATCAAAACTTTACTTCAAAAAAAACTAGAGTTAGATTTAAGATAACCTTTTTTCGGCAAGCTTTGTATTATGTCAACAGCGGCTTTAAAAGCAGCATCATATTCACAGCTTGTTTCCACAGAATCCGAAAGCATAACAGCTTGTAAAAACCGAAAATTCGGCACGGATAACTATGAACAGACCAATTGATAACTACTAGTTTCTCTTGATAAATATGCACCTAAGATTTAAAATTTCCGTAAATTACGGATCAGTAAGTAGTTAATACATCATCTAATGCCGCAAAAAATTGTATTGAAAATCAATAACAAAAATAATCCGACATAAACTGCAAAATAGCATAAAATGAGCAAAAAACAGAAGTAAAACGATGAAGCATTAATAAACCTGCACGATTTTGCGAATATATTTCCAGTTGCATAAACATTAAAATCTTATTTTCATAGCAACAAATAAATCATTAAGTTGCTAAGTAATAAAAAACTGCTCTACATATCACTTCGCAGCTTATATCAACCGAAATAAAACATCACTTAGAAAATGGATAAATACTTATCTAACAAATAAGTTGAAAGCAATTAAGAAATTTAAAAGGGAAAATTTTTGAAACTAGCAAAGAAATTCAATCAATGATCCAATAAATTTTTAGCTTTTAATATTTTAAAAATTTATGTCAAACATGAAAAGTAATAAAAGATGCACTATCTGAACGAATTAGGATACATTAGGATAACATTTGTAATGCCTAATATATATATATATGATCATCCTCTATTTTGCATTAATGAACACAATACAATAACAAATAAATGCAAAATAATATAAGCTAACATAATGCTAATGCAAAATAAAGGATTCATAGAGAAAAAAAAAAGGAATAGTTTTGATGATTAATTTCTTTTCTAAGTCATATTTTTTGAATTTTTCCTTTTGTTTTAAACATAATTAAAGAAAGAGATAAGAGTTAGAAAAATGAATGTTAGAAACAATATTATATAATTATCCGAAAAAAAAACTTTCAATTATTTCACAAATAAAAGAGATAATAGAGATGAAAAGTAAATAATACAATCTTCACAAATCAGAAATAAATTTATAAAAAGAAAATGGAAAATGGAAAAATTTGAACCTTTTATTATTAGCCATAGATGGAAAAGCCATATCATAAAAGGAAAGTGCTTTTATGAAAATATTATTAGCTATAGATGGAAAAGCCATATCATAAAATAAATGATAACAGCGAACAAAAATACAAAATGAAATGATAATAAAGAGAAAAAGAGCAAAAATTGATAAAATAAAGCAAAGAATGAAAATGAAGATTAAAATTCGGAAAAAAAAGAAAACAAAATTTCCAAATAGCAGAATGGAGTCATCTTTACTGCATAATTGACACTTCGAAAATATGACAGTGAATTTTTAAAGCATTTAAGAAAAACATTATTAAGAATCGTGCCAAAGGTTAGCGATCAAATGTACATGCAATTCATATGGTTCAGCATAAAACATAACAGTAATGTTGGTGTTTAAAATTAAAAGATTCTATTTCAAATCTACATTTATGCTGTCTATCGATAGTTAAGAACAAACAGAGTGAAATCTTTAAAAAGAGGATAAAAATTATCTTGAACACAGTATTTATTACATATCAGTAATTCACAAAGAAACAAATTTGTACATACTTTGGAAAAGCTGTTACATAAGGTGAACCAAGCAAGCTCAAACAGAGATCGTTCTATCAGCGGATAAATTCTATGGAAGGTTTGATATCTCATATTATTTTTGAGAAAAAGTAAAATGCAGCGCCATATCTGTACGAAAAATTCATTTATCCTTATAACTAATGGTTAAACATTTTAATATAAACTAACAACTACTTTTATATTTATTGATTATTAGGAAATAACATCGTTTTTCTCAACTCAGATAGGCAGAGCAAAAACCAGTTTAAGAGCAACGAAAAATAAAACGAGATATTGAGAAAAAAACTCATTTTCGTTTTCGATTAATAGTAATGCACGAAGGTGTGCAAGCTGAATTATGGGATGTAGAAAACAGACATTGATGCCATTACGGTGCAAAATTCATAAGTTTAAGCTATTTTCAAACTTTACGTTTCCCGTTACACTCCGTATAGCTTCCATTATATTCTTCTTTTCTCCTAAATATGTGAAAATTTTACCAATATCTTTTTTTCTCCGCTTTGGTTGCTATATTTCCGAAAACAAAAGATATATATTGCATATTAAAAATTGGCTTTCTAAGGACGTACTTTTGCAGTTTACGGTAAAAGATGGCCGCAAGCTGCAAAAATATGCCAATGGAAAAGCTCTATGGAAAAAATATCTCTCACCATTAGTTCGTGCAGTTATGTAACTAGAATACAAGTTTTTCCGATTTATCCTTAATAGCGCTTTCTGACAGGAACGTATAGATGAACCTAAAAGGATGAATTGTTTCAACAAAGCCATGGATTGATCCGTTTATTATTATTATCATTATTATTATTATTATTATTATTATTATTAT